GGCTTTACCTGCCGCATGGCCGACTCAGAGCGGGGGGAAGGACGGGGGGTGGTGTTGTGAGTAAGAAAATTAAGGTGGGTACTTCAACCAAAAAGCCTGAATTTGCCAGAGGGGTGTAAAACTTCATTTTGACAACAAACAGTGACATTTTCCTCTGACTTAAATACCAGAAGATGTGTATACACCTTCAACTACTAGCTTTCTAAATGAGTAAAATTTTTTTCGTTATTATTGTTCCTAATCTCCAAAGAATATCCATAAGACTCACCTCTGCTTACAGTATCAGGATGCAAGAACTAAACCCGTGTGCAGAATCACTAAGTGGGTATAAGACCACAAGTGGAAGCAAAACCTAAATTCTCTTTTTTTTTTTTTTTTTCCCTTTAAATTAATAGCAAGGAAAAAGTTGCTTCTAAACAAATTACTTTTGTCTGTATGTGTCAACCTTCTATCTGTCACATGCAATTGGATTGTTACAAGGGAAGACAGGAAGAGAAATCAACATAGGAGATCTGTCAATCTCACCCACCATCTTTAGGCCTGTATCTCACAACTAAAGCACACCACTAAATCCTGTCTCTTCCTTTACGGTCTTCCATGCCAACACTTCTAGCTGACCTAAACTAGGGTCTGCTGACCAAATGCATCACATCCATGGGGTACTAGAAAGAGGTCATAGCACTGTGCTGGAGTTGGGAGATGCGCCTCTAGACCCCATAGGACCCCATCTTGAGACAAGCCCTGCTGAAAGCCATGATCTGCTTTTGCAGCATTATGCCCCAAGCCCTTCTATGTTACTTGATAGGATATATTCCCTTCCTGCAGCCCAGCGTACAAGTGTGTACCGTGCAGTGTACTTGTTACTCAGCAAGTAAATGCCCTGTGAGAGGAGAGGGGGGAAAAAAGACAGTTCTGTTCTAAAAGTTAGTAACGTATCATTCTGTTTGAAGCTTGAAAAGTCTGTCTGGATTTGTTGTATGTGATTGTCTTATCACAAGCGATCAGCACTCTTGCAGTGCTGGCTACCCTGCTCTGTTGTACCAGCTTCCCTGCAGCACTTGAAAGTTGCTCCACATGCTTTAAAGTGAAGCATACTTTTCTTGCTCATGCTGCATGCTTTTCCTAGCAATGCCTGATTCCGTAGTTTTAGTTCTGGGTTTCTGAAGCTGTGGTATAGAAATTCCTAATTTAAGTATTTATTGTACAAAAAAAAAGATGGTTAAAACTACCAAGGAGTAACCTAATTGCAAGATACACTGTAAAACTATAGGGTTGTCTAGATACAAACAAGCTTTTCACTGTGTCAAGAGAAAGCTTCAACAGACTAAGGGGGAAAGTTATATCCTAACTCAAAATACCAATGAGACTCGTTTCTTAACAGGAGAGTATACCCTGTTTCCTAGTGCTGGCAGGCCTACTAATGCTCCGATCTGGCTTTAAAATACACAGATACATGTTAAAGCTGTAACAGCTGGAGAGGAGGAACACTCCTGCACAGAGAAGCTGCTAATACAGAGATATTTTTATTGGTGTACCTTGTTTGGGTGAATCTCTGGAAAGTAGTTATGTAACATCAGTACCTCCACAATAAGACAAAGTTGCCTTCAGGAAAGCTTCCTTACTCACCTACCTAAATTTTCTAAGTTTTCTAAATACAGTAAAACTAGTAAAAAATCAATCAAGCCTGAATTTTTAAAGGGCCTTTCTGTATTAAACTTCTTAATTCCAGTTCATCCCTTGTAGTGCTCTTACTAGAGTTCTTGATTTTTATTAATGAGATTTTTACATTACTTCAATTTTACTCAGAAAAGCTAACAAACCCCATATGCTCTATTTTATTACCACGTAGAATTCACTCAGAATAAACTCAGAAGGAAGAAGATACAAAGCTTTGCATTTTTTATATTTTTTGCACTCCGTGGGTTTCTTTCTAGACCAAACAGCAATACAAATCAGTCACGCCTAGTGATCAACAGTGGATATTGTGGTAGGTGTCTAATGACCAATGTCAGAATCAGACCTGTATTTTATCTGTTGTACAAAAAATCTGACAAAGGACCTGCTTTGAGGCAGAAATCATTCAACTCAACATACAAATGATCTGGTGCAAGTTTGGTATAGAATCTCACAATTACTTTAATAGTCCCTGAAACCTGATCTGGGTAGAAGTTGTCAAATTTTTGGACTGGTATGGTTTGTATTCTAGTGGTTAATTCAGTAAGGTATTTCAAAAAAAAAAAAAAAAAAAAAAAAAAAAAAAAAAAAGAGGGAGGGAATTAGATGTTACGTTTCCCCCCCCTCAAAATAAATACTAAAGAGAGAAAAAGGTGCCAGAGGAGATTTGAAATTAGAAAGTCTGTTGCTGAGATGCGAAAAAAGAAAAGTTTGCTCTGTTTTCCTTTTGCACCGTGACTTCAGTTTTATAGTTAGATTTTTCTGGAGTCTTACATCAACTTTCTTTTGGTTTCTAAACAACCACGATTAATTCTTTACATTTTTAGTATTTTAAACTGGTTTGGTTTTCTAGGAATATGTCACCAAGCAAAAATTCACATGACTTTGGGAGGCTATCTAGGTGGATAACCATGGGGGTAAGGAAGGTAGGATTATGGCTAGGATTGGATAGTGGCTCTGCCAGGACAGATTTAGGGTAGTGCTCGTGTGAATCGTTGATTTTAACACAGGCACAACTTTAGACAGGGTTAGGCAAATTAGTTGAATTCAGTAATATAAGAGTCTGAAAGAAAAAAATGCATCCCTCCTTAACAAATAGGGAAGAGGTGGGTTCGCTTGTAGATTGAAGCCTGCTGTGAAAACACGATCCGTGCTGAAAATCGTATGCAAACTTCTCAGACAGAAAAACTTAAAACTTATCTGAAATGTTCCTACAACTGCAACCTTTGAACATACTTTCTATAAATAACCATTACAAAATAACCTGGTTTATTTTAAAACAGTATTTTATGTGGAAGACTCCTATGCATTGCAGGTCTCACGTTATAAACCAAGATGTCTACTGATTCTCAGCATGGTTCTAGTAAGGTTTTTAATTTACATAAGCTTTTGTTGTTGGGTTGTTTTTTTTTTTTAGTTCTGTAACTGTTGTCTAAGAATCAAATTTATCGTCGCAAGAGGCACCACCTTGAAAAGGGGGTCTGTGTGTCATCTAGATAGTTTTTGCTTTTATTTCATGAGCAAGCCTGACAGGGTTTTCTAGTTAAATAAATGCGGGGTAATACGCATCTCGTTCTCGGAACGGTACCTCGGTAGGAAAGCCAAGCTCTACCCGCGAAGCACCGCTTATTCCTGAGCGACCCCTTCTCCCCAGGCCCGCGGGAGCCCAGGCGGGTCGGCGGCCGCAAAGGCGGCGGCCAAGGCCCGGCCCGACTCCGGCGCCAGGCCCGGCTCTCCGC